GGCCAGAACCCATCCTAAATGCAACATTTTTGGGGATAACTGTGGCCTGTATCGTGTTTACAATTTATAATGGACAGAAGGACGGACAGATGAACGGACGGACACACATGTCTAGATCGACTCAGCTAGTCGAGATTTGACGATCGGTATACTTAAAGGTGGGTCTAGGACCAATATTTCGCGGCGTTACAAACTCTTGGGGCTGCGCAAATCTATAATACCCTGACAACATAGTTGTGTGTCGAATTTTTTGAGTAATGGTAAATGCATTAGCATTATACTTGTGTAGCAGGGTTGAAAAATGATTCCAAACAAACATTCATTTAATAAACAATAATCCCCCCATATCTCAACGTTATTCTAACCCAAACAATATTTTAAGATCAAAATTCAAAAATATTCACTAATGCGAAATAACCCATACAAAAACCTTTGATCCCCAAATGTATGCCCCAACCCTGCTATACAAAACACCTTTCAGTTTATTTGCTTAGTGTTACTGCTAATAATGATGACGATGCCGTGTTGTTGTTATGTTCATACTTTTTTTGTTTTTGTTTTCATGTAATGTTTTCTTCTCAAACGCTTAAGGTTTATCATTTATTTTTATAACTTAACCGTGATGTGTTAAAAAGTTGAGTTCATCCATTCAGAGTTGTTACTCCCGCGCTTGGAATTTATAAGTACAGCAAAGAGTATTCCCCCGAATGGCGTTGGTATTGGTAGGCTCGCTGCCTTACTGGCTGTGGCAGTCAGTTAATGTCAATGATCATCATCATCATCAGCACCATTATCGTGGTGATTAAGTCGTGGAGAGGTAACAAACAACAACCACAAAAATGTATTTACCTTTACCTGAAAATTAAATTTGTTTATTCGACACGTTTAAAGCATTTGGTAATTGACGGACAGACAAACTGCGTCGCATACGACGATGACAATGATGCAATTTTTGGCTGTATAATACGTTCCTATAGTTTTTTTCTGTAAACCTCATTTAATGTTGTTGTTTTTGGAAGTGATTCACTTTCCTGTGTTTCCTTTGTCACATTTTTTAAATAATAAAAATAGCAATAACAATAATTCCAATAACAATAATTCCTTTCTCTTTATTTTATCGTTTCTTTGCAGTTTCTCCTTTCATTAACAATATCAACATCTCACGGAGTACATCATGACCTTCTATTGGTGGTCCCATTGGTTCTGGATAACATTAAGTTGTAGTGAGTATTCTTGAAAATAAGTTATTATAAATTTAAGAAGTAAATTCGTCATTAAGTTCGGCCGGGACCCCTTCATCATTCAAAATACCTAAAAACGATAGACCCTTGTATATGGAAGCTAGACGTGATACATTTTTGTCAACCACTTCGTAATGTTAAAATGAGGCCAATTCGCTTTTAAAATACGCCAATGCTCATGAAATAGGGCTAGATCTTTATTTGGAGATTATACCCAAAGATCGACCGATTTTTATAATTTTTGGTATGCAAATTTACTACCCAAGAAGAAATCAAAATATAAAATCAGAACCAAGTAGGTTGAAAACACATGTCTGAAATCTTTCAAGTAATGAAAATTAGGTGTGGACCGATAACCGATCTTGGATTTAGTAAAAACATTACGATTGATAGGATCAAATCGATTTTTTTTTATAATATTGGTACTTTGTGGGATAGGTATCAGAAGGAACGGACCGATAGCTCCCATTTCTAACTTGATCAATGTAGGGATCGAATAGGAAAATCTATTAGTTTAGTATTGGATTTATAATATTTCAAAATTTTGACACTGCGGAGGAGGTGCCAGAAGAAGTGGACCGATTGACCCCATATTCAGACTTCATTTTGGTATGATAAATGTATTACAATGGGTCAAGTTTGGATTGAATTGGGTAATCAATTCAATTGATATCGGATTTACAATTTCTAAAAAAATGTGGATCGATTGAGGTTTAGCAAAAACATCATTTGGAAGGGGATTGTGTGCCAGACTACAAACCGATGTGTTCCGGGTTCAAATCCCAGCTAATAAAGAAAAATTCTTTCAAACAAGGTTTCGAGAGGCTTAAATGCCACTCCAAATGAAATGCAATCGAAAGGTCCGTAACATTGTAATAAAAACCTCCACATCATACATGAGGATAATAAGGAATGGCAGAAGATAGCGCAACCTAGGGAAAAATTGCTACACTAAATAAGAAAGAATCCCAACTACTGCAAAAATTCAAGAAGATATGTTCAGGGTTCGAATACTAGAGGTGGAAGAAAAAATCTAATAATTTTAAATATGAGATGTAAGTTCATATTTATACTCCAGCTTAAATGTATCCAAAATAACCCTAACATTCTTATAAACAACCTCAGCATCAACACAGATGGATAACACGAATATAGCGACACCCATAGGAATATAGCAATACTAAGTTAGCAAGGACCTCAATTCAAGGAGGCATGGAATCTAGGTAACGATAGATGGCAACCCCATCAACTAGAACAAGCTCCAGCTGTACAATAATCTACTTACCCGGAATAAAAACTTTGATTAACAAAACCAGCACCAGAACTAATCCAATAAGATATGTCGATACTTTGGGCAAGCCCTATGGTCCCAAGAAGAATAACAGAGATAAAATAAACCAGATACCAGATACTATATTTGCAGATCACTGCCATTTGATTTAAGTACGGTAAAACTATTACAATGTTCAAAGTTTGGAGTTGGAGCAGCGAAGTGGAATGTGTGCCGGACTACCAAGCAAAAGGGTACAAATCCCAACGGAGGAAGGAAAAAAAGAGTCTTATAACCGGCTTCAGATAAAATGCATCCGAAAGGACCCCGACATTCTTATAGCCAACTTTGGCATCAACACAGGAGGATAATACAAAAATAGATATGAGAGGATATATCGACACCCAGAGAAAAATGGCAACTCTAAATTTAGCAAGAACACCAACCTCTGCACAATATTCAACGGGTTATTGTTCCTAGGCAACGATAGATGACGGTCTCATTGCCTAGGGCAAACAATGATTAACGAAACTAACTCTAGGGCCAATAGAGTAAGATTGCAATGTTTTGTGGAAGCCTTATGCTCCACTTATGGTCCAGTTTTCACAACGGGAAAAGAGGCATACATCCTACTCCATATGAAATGCATTCGAAGCCTTCCTGATATTCCCATAATCATTAGGAATATAACAACAAAATAGAAACGACGAATTTGGTTCCAAGAAACATATGGTATAAAACCATAATTTTAATATCTTTCAAAGACCTTTGGAAATGTTTATGTGTATTGACGACCAGTCTACGATCTGTAGATCTTAGAAAGTCTTCCGGCTAAAACACCTGCAGAAGCATTTCGGCATATAAAATACATATAAAATAGAGCCTTTTTGAAGAGTATCCGTAGAATTTATTCTCCATATTGAAGATCTGTAGAATATATTCTGAAGTTCTGTAGAAATTCATCTGAGTATTGGAGTCTATAGAAGACCTGTAGTAAGTCTTCCGACTATAGTAGACCTGTAGATGTTGTTCCATCTACAGATGACTTGTACAATATCTCCTGTCAATAGAAAACCTACAGAAGGACATTTGCCTATATAAGATATTCTGCTTATCATGTAAAAAAAACTGTCAGTGAAGGACCAATAGAATGGATTCGGTCTACATGAAAAATGTAGAAGACCTAATTATGTATTTTTACCAATTGGAAAAATGTAAAAAGCCTTCAGTCTCTAAAGGGACGGTGGGAGTTTGTCTGTATATAAAAGACCTATAGACGGACTTCTGTGAATAGAATAATTGTAGAAATTTTTCTTTCATAGAGAACCTGCAAAGTTTCGGTGTTAAGAAGACCTGTAAAAGACCTCTTGTGTATATAGCAGACCTGCAGAAGGGATTCTGTTTATGAAGGATCTGTGGAAGTTATTTTGTATAGAGAAAGCCTGAAAAAGGCTCTATATATACAAATTCTCTAAAAGGTCTTCGACTACAGAAGATCTGTGCAAGGTCTGACTATAGGAGACCTGTAGAAGGTATTCTTCTATAGAAAACTTGTGATCTACCCGTTGAATGTCTTCTGTTTAAATAAATTTCGTAGAACAAGTGAAAAAATCATAGTCTGTGGAGGATCTACAGATTCGTAATGAATGTATATAGGCATAATACAATAATACAAAACCTCTACTAGGTCTTCTGGCTATAGGAAACCTGCAGAAAGTCATCTGTCTATAAAAGACCTTGTAGAAGCTCTCGTGGCTATAGAAGATCTTCTGCTAGGTCTGTAGAAGGTCTTCTGTCCATAGAAGTTCATTTGTCTGCAGAAGACCTGTGTGGAAGACCATCTGCCTATAGGGAACTTTATATGGTATTCTGCCTGCAGGATCTTACGGTCTATAAAAGACCTCTATGAAGTCTTATATTTTATCTTATACTTATGTATATAGACCTGAAAAAAGTTTTATAACAACAGAAGACGGAAGGTCGTCGCCCATAGATGACCTTTAGAAGATATTTTCTCTAAAGAAGACCTCTTGAAATTATTTAATAAAGGAGATCTGTAAAGTTTTTGCTCATTCATAATCTATAAAAGTTTTTTTTTTCAATAAGAGAGTTGTAGGACATCTAGAAAAGATCTGCAAGCTGGTATTCTACTGAAGGTCTTTTTTGAGCGTATTTTTGATATATAAGATATATTTTATCGAATTAATTAGTTCTTCAGTAATTTCATATTAATTTTCTTTCCTCCCCCAGATCTCTTGATGTCCCACATTATGGTTGTACACGCATATCCAAGTTTGGATAGTTCACTGGAACGTAACCGACATGAACAGGAAAAGAAAATGGTGACAAAGTTGTATCAGGCCTCGACAACACTGACATGGTTCGGTGATGCATCCACAGTAGCCTCAGCGGCAAGGGCTGCTACCACCACATATGGAGGCGACGAAAAGACCCGATTACAAAGTGTTAGTGCCACAACGCAACAACCGATGTCAAATACCACACCTCTAACACCCGAAACCGAAATGTCAAACTTGAAAAATAATAACAAAAAACTTGCCGATGGTTTTGAAGATTATTATTACTATGATGATGAGGATGATAATAATGCCGATACGGATATTTCAGATAAAGTGAAACCTCTGCATCTGGAAGATGTAGAGGTGGAGGAGGAGGAACAAGAAACAAACCAGCAAAATGATGGAAAACAAAATGAAATGAAAAGATCGGCAGAGGATATGAGCAACATGAATACGGCTACCCTGTCGACAACCATGGCCAGTACACCCACAACCAATGTGAACGGCGGCAACAACAGCTCATCTCATTCCAATGGTGTGCGTAATCATAATAATTACACAAATTTTACAGAACCATTCCATGCCAGTGATGGTTCCAACAACACAATGTCACAAACGGAAGACTTCAATAATCCCTCCTCAGATAGTCGGCTAAAGGCCAACATAATGATGGCCTCAGCCTCAATTTTGGCCACCTCGGTTAATTCTTTATCGGCCCTCATTGCCAATAATGTTACACAACTGCCGCCGGGGACACCAAAAATCACAAGGCCATCATCACCACCAGGCGATTGGCTGCGAAGTATGGATGCTGCTGTTGCGGCCGTTTCACCGCCACCCTTAAGTGTAACAGCCACCGGCACCACCACCGAAGTTACCGATGACAAATTCCCATTCACTTTGGAAAATGTTCACAAATCTGAAGATTTGCGTCGCGATGAAAACGAACCACGACGCAGACAATCGAAGGGCCTATCGGCTGATTATAAACCGCCCGGTTATATCAATTATTCGCCGGAATCGAAAAATTTGCTGACACGTTCGGCCTCGACGACTGTCAATGATTATGACAGCGAAGAGAGTAATATATCGTCGGAAGCGTTGTCTGTACAGGTGAGTGAGTCGTTTTTGGGAGGGAAGGAAGGGTGCGGGGTTTGACTGAAGGCAAATTTTAGGACTTTTATGAGCAGAAGACCTTCTCAGTCGTTCTGAAGAAGACAGCAGATGTTCTCAAGACCTTCCAAGACACAAATACATTTTCAAGACTTCTAAAGAAATAAGAATTTCTCAAGACTTCTACACAAAGGAGATATTCTGCAGGTCTTCTATATACTTAAGGTCTTCTGAAGGAATCCTTCCTACAGGAGGCCTTCAACAGATCTTTTGTAACCAGCAGAACAAGATCTTCAGTAGGTCTTCCGAATACAGTTAAATTATTCATGACTTTGATAGGAGGACCTTTTATAGGTCGCCTATAGCCAGAATATCAGGACTTCCATAGACGGGAAATTTGCTAAGAGCGTCTTCCATAGGTAGAAGACCTTCTACAGTTATTCTACAGGTAATTTATAGGAAAAAGTCATACCGGTCTAATATAGTTAGAAGACGTTCCACAGATGTTTTGTAGACAGAAGATCTTCTACAGGTATCCCATAGTCAGAAGACCTTCTACAGATCTTCTATAGTCAGAAGACCTTGTACAGATCTTCTATAGTCAGAAGACCTTCTACAGGACTTCTATAGCCAGAAGACATTCTACATATCCTCTATAGTCAGAAAACCTTCTACAAGTCTCATATTTTTGCAGACCTTCTACAGGTATAGCCAGACTACCTTCTACAGGTATTCTATAGTCAGAAGACCTTCTACAAGTCTGACCTTCTACAGGTCTTCTATAACCAGAATACCTTCTACAGGTATTCTATAACCAGAATACCTTCTACAGGTCTTCTATAACCAGAAGACCTTCTACAAGTCTCATATTTTTCGCAGACCTTCTACAGGCCAGAATACCTACTGCAGGTCTTCTTTAGTCAGAAGACCTTCTATAGTCAGAAGACCTCCTATAGGTCTTATATAGCCAGAATACCTTCTACAGGTCTTCTATAGTCAGAAGACCTTCTACAAGTCTTACATAGCCAGAAGAAGACAGAAGATCTTCTACATACCGTTTTATAGGCAGAAGACCTTCTGCAGGTCTTCTATAGCCAGAAGACCTTCTACAGATCTTCTATAGTCGGAAGACCTTCTACAAGACTCATATTTTCCGCAGACCTTCTACAGGCCTTCTATAGACAGAAGACCTACTGCAGGTCTTCTTTAGTCAGAAGACCTCCTATATGTCTTATATAGCCAGAATACCTTCTACAGGTCTTCTATAGTCAGAAGACCTTCTACAAGTCTTACATAGCCAGAAGACCTTCAGCAGAAAACTTTCTACGGGTCTTCTAAAGCTCCAGAATACGTTTTACATACTTTTATAGGCAGAAGAAATTCTAAAAGACCTTCTACAAGGCAGAATATAGTTAGCAGGTTTAAAATACCTTCTACAAGTCTCCAATAGACAAGAGACTATGGTCAGCAAACCTTATTCAGGTCTATAAGCATACGATCTTCTTCAGGCATACTATATTATACATAATATAGCTCTTCCGTAGACAGAAGTCCCTGGACAGGACTTTTATAGAAAAAAGATCTTCCAGTGGCAGAAAACCCTCTACACGTACTTCACAGATGGTAGACGAAGTCCGGCATGAGACTTTATAATCAGGGAAACTTCTAAATGCCGTTATTGGTATTGATCTCATATTTACTGAGGACATTGTACTATCCCCTTATAAGCAGCACCTCTAGAGACGTGATATAAACCTTCTAGGAGATCATAAGTCCTTCTACAAATCTTCCAGAGCTCTTCCCGCCCATAAACATTTCCATCTTAAAGAATATCCCTTAAAATATGCTTCACAATTTTTTTTTTCAGCGCGCCTATTTCATGGATGTCGGTGCAATATCAGCAATCTGTTTTACAGTATTCGGTATCTGCTGTACAGTGGGTACCATAGGTATGGTTTTATATCGTCGTCGATTCTTAAATAAGCCTCAGGCATTAAGTGAGCCGGACTCCAGTGTTTATATCGACGATAGCACGATGCGTGTTAGTGTGAGTATCGAAAAAATCTATTTTTGAAAATAAAAATTTCACACCTTCCCTTTCTCTTCTATTCTTTCCTTGCAGGATAATTCAGATGAAATGTATAGCTTGGATAATGATTCGTTTTTAAATTCATTGGAGGCCATGACAATACAAAACTATTGGACCGATACTGTTAAACATACAAAGCTTTAATTACTAATATCTCCCCTAACCTATAAGAAATGTCCCCCCAAATTGTTTCCTTAGATTTTTAGAATTAATTTTACGTTTCCTTTTTGTAAAACTTAGTATATTTTTACTAGGTTTTCTCTTTAACTTTTGAAAAAAAATTATTATTATTATTAAAAAAAAACTATAGTTTAGGATACTTACTTAATGTATGTAGTGATACTAATACAATAAATACTTACACTTAACACACATCTACACTTACACAATAAAAATACACACGCATACACAAAAATACAATTAACACAAAACAAAACAAAAAAACATAATCATAGTTGAAATATTTCTAATTAATTTATTTCTTATTAAAAAAATGATACAAACACAAAAAGAAACAAATTGTTTAAATAAGAAAAAGTTATTTTTTAAATTATAAGTTACAAAAATGAAATTAAACCATTCCTTCCACACAAACACAAAACATTTTGAAAGGCATTATAAAATAAAGAGAAATTTAAAAAATAAAAAAAATAATTATTATTAATAAAGATTTAAGAAATCAATGTAAGAAAACAAATACAACAACAAAAAACAAATTATAAATTAATAAAGAAATTGATTTAAAAAAAAACAATAAACACAATTACAAATTTGAAAACTTTTGAATGATGTGTAGTCATCGAGGATGTATTAGATTGGAAGAGCGCTACTCTCGGATACTATTGTAACACTCAACAAAACGTAAAAATAAAAAGATACATAAAAAAATAGAACAACGTCATTAAGTTGGAAGTGGACAAACTTTTTATTCCCTCCACCATGAATTGAACATTTAAAATATATGTAATCGTTCGGGACCTATTATATGGCGGGTTTTTCCCTTGTAAATTTTTGGTAGGAAGATTTGAATTAAATTCAGAACCAAATTACAGCCAAATCGAATAGAATCCTAACCTAATCCTTAAAAAGTGGACGTAGATTGATTTTTTTTTTTTTTTTTGGAAGGATGAGAATTCAAAATACTACATTATGGCCATGTTGGTCGAAACTCCTCATTTTTATTTGAGTTTTGCTTGGTGGGGCGATGGTCATTGAATATTTTTTTATTTTTATAACCCAATATGCCTGATGGTGAAACGCGTCGCATAATGGTGGGAACGTGGGTTCTGACTTAAGGGAACCCCCCCCCCTTCTCGATTTTATTTTTTTAAGATTTTCAGTGGGCTGGTAAATCAATACCAATGCTTGTTAAGGTTTGTAACTTTACACATATACAATTAAAGATTTAAAAGAGAAGAAAAATAATTTACAACAAAATTTTGTTATTGTTTTGTTGTTGTTTTTTGTAATTAAAGAAAAGTCCTTATTTTTGATGGCGGGCATGATAACTCCTCACTGGAACATCGGAATCCGAAAATTCCAACGGTGTTAGAAAGAGTACATGTCTGGCTCTCGTATGAACTAGGATTATTGACTTCGCTCTAAAATTAACAAAATGGTGGACCTTTGAAAAAATATTTTTGGAAAATCGCCGATTTTTGACCAAAAACCAAGTTAAAAAATAAGGAAGATCTTCACCGATTGGATTTATCCTAGTTCATACGAGAGCTATACACTCCCAGAGAAACGTTGCAGAATTTGAAACCGATTGGATTATTAGTTTTTGAGTTATCGTGCCCGCCATTCGCAAAAAAATGTTTAGAGAAAAACGCGTTTAGAGTTTGAGAAGCCCTTCAGCCGTCACTTGATGCGGACACAATAAATCGGATATATCTTCAAGAGTTCTTGAGATTTTCACTTGAAATTTTGTAGAGACATTCCTTAATCAGTGTAGATTCGAATTATGTCAACAAAAATTTTGACCCCGAGAATGGGGGGGGGGTCCCCTTAAAAAAATTCAATGATCATCGCCCCTGCAGGAAAAACTCAAATAAAAATGAATTTTCTATAAGATAGTCACGTTACTTCAATGACCTGATTGATATTCTAAATTCTTTCCATCGGTCAATGATGCGAAACTTACCAAAATAGAAGGTATGGGAGTAGCATCAATTACTATATTGACTGCGGTCCACATCGATACGCTATGACCTGGAAACATAACATGATTACAATTAGGGCCGCTTGACAGATTAAGTCACCCGTCGTGAGACACTAATGCTTAGATCCTTGATAAATTCTGATGCTTTCATGAATGCTAAAAACGAATTAGCTTTTGTTTAGTTTGAAAGCTCATCACAAAAGACCCCCGCACCTGTCTCATCTTCCGGAGCAAACAAGTTCATTGGAACTATCCACATAAAGTAACGATGCGAACTAGGTGCAGTTCATTAGTTCCTGTAGTTCCATTTTTTGGTCTCGTTCCTTTTTGTGATATCGTTCATTTCATTGATCTCGTACGTTCTTTAGATGCTGCCACATTGTAAAAAATTAGCTCATAAATTTGCAGTTGAATTCTGGAGCTTCTGAATATTCTACTAAACATAGATTAACAACACGGAACCATATGAGCGAAAAAAAAAACAAAAAGAAAGGGAGAGAGTCAATGGAATTACCTATTATTCGGAACTATATGAAGTAAAGGAACTATATTAAAGAAGTAGTTCCTTTTTAAAAAGGAAAAGGAATTATTTCAATCGAGAAGTCTTGATATTTCCATGGGTCAGTTTGTTCTGTGAGGGTTTGTGGTCAATCATGGCAAAGACTTGACAACTAAGCCTGAAAAACTGATATCCACAGGTAATAACAAGGCTCCTTTCGAAAACAGTCGGTACCCGTAATGCAAACTGTGAAACATCAATGGGCTCGAAATTGCCTATCACCTCTACATTATGGAGGTCAGTTTAGGTGGGAATTGATCTAAGGCCTTATGTAGAATTGGCTATTTAGGGGCACCAAGTCCGCCTCCCGCGCAAAACCCCGTATTTAAAACGTTCTACAAGTTTTCTCTTTTTTGTTCATTCTCCAGGAATGCCATTTCGGTGAGAAATTTCGGATGACTTTATATGGGGTCTATTTCAAAACTGGGCGCCAAAGACTGGAAAACTCGAGTACGAACTTAAATATACCGACAATTAAGCGAGACCTTTGAATTGTGGTTGTTTAATGCATTTATTTGGAAACTCCAGCTAAGATCTTCTAAAAATACAGAAAATTTGGCGGAAGATTAAGATTGGTGTTATTTCCAAAAAAGTGGATCCATATCAAACATTTTCTGTAATTTTTTTTCTCATCCTCCAGGAATGCCACTTCGGAGGGAAAATTCGGGTAAGCCCAAAAACCAAGAGGTAATTCTATATGGGAACTATTTCAAAAGTGAGCCCATAGGCTGGAAGTTTTAATATATCCACAATTAGGCGGGACCTTTTTTATGGGAGGTACTTTAATAAAAATAAAAATTTTCTCTGCCTTAATCGGAAGTTACAACACCGTTTTGCGGGATATATTCGAAATACGATGTCCTAAAGAAATTTTTGACAATTTTACAAGAACTTCCTTCTTTATAGGGAACAATGGAAAAATATCACAATAAACGTGCAAAGAGGAAAAAAGGGAATTTTGAATCGAATCCCATGTCAAACAAGCGTGCGATGTTTTCACATGGTGATACATATTGATGTAAGGTGTTTGAAAAACTGTTGCCCATACTTCAGCTTGTCTATATGGATTCTCTCCTTCTCGGCTCGTCCATCAACATTGCTGTCAGTTCGTCTATAAAGACTCCCTTCAGCTCGTAACTACAAACTTCACATCACTTCTTCCTCAAAGCCCATCTTCAACTCGTCCATATAGACGCTATTCCGATTGTGAATTTCGAAAGATGTTGTTAATCACATTTTATTCCATTATAACGATTCTAGAGAGTCTGTAACTATTAGTTGTAATGGTAGTAGATCTATCTATAAGGCTCATAGGGTGAATATTTCCGAGATGTTTGGAGTTATACTGAAAATATTTTCAGCCATAAACTTGACCGAAGATCTTGTCTTTAAAGACTCACTTCAGCTCGTAGATAAAAATAGCCTGCAGTTATTAGTTCTAATGGTCTATAATGATGAACAGAGGCTATATTATGTGGGTTTGAAGTTCTGATTGGAACAGTTGAATATCTATGAAAGTCTTCAGCAGCGTGTCTGCCAGGAGCTGCAAGGTCCGCGAAACTAGCCTGAATATTTGGTGTTTGCCTATCGAAAAGCATAGTACGGGTGTTGGCTTATAGAGGGTAGTGTTCGGTTCGGAATGAATTTAAACCGCATTTACATTAAAACTTTTTACCGGGTCAACCTACTTCATGGTGATTTATTTGATATATACACAATACAATTGACAACTTAAACCCACTGGGTTAACGAAATCTGATACAAAGTAAACGTACTGTAATAGAGAACGCCATGACTTGTAAGAATCACGAAACTGTTTTTTTTTTTCAATTTTTCTTTTTAAAATATAAATGTTACCAGAACACATCCAACATTTTTACATGCCCCACCCAAAAATAATGAAAAATTGAAAAAATAATTAAATTGACATTAAAACAAAAAAGAAAAGAACTCAATTGTACAAAAACCAATATTACAAAATTCTTTTAATTTAAAATCATTCGTTTAATATCTATTTAAACCAATAACAAAAAAGTGGATTTTAATATTTATTAAAAAATTTAAAAAAAATAACTGTTATAGATCAATGTTGAATTCATAAATATTTTATTATTAGTTGTTTTAGTTGTTAAATATTATTTCGGCTAAAAATAAAACAAACGATAACATTTTAACGAATATTCGATTTGTGAATTAGTTTTTGTAAGAAAAAAAACAAGAAAACGATAATATAAATTAATATTAGTAACAGAAAATTAAAAAAAAACAATGGATATTAATTTAAATAAGGAATCACATCACAAGACATCTTTCTCATAACAAAAAAAATTATAAAAATAAAATAAATCTTTTAAAAGAACTAAATTATTAAATGTTTATCGTTTTAATTATGGGAAAGAGAAATATCAAAAAATTACGTTTTTTTTAATTCATTATCAAACC